TGAGACATTTCTTACTTTACTTCCCTCGGTGTGTAATATACTATTTATATTGGTTATTTAATCTTGTAAAATGATAGACTAATAGCAACTATATTTTGGTTTGCAAATTTTTTTATCCGTGATAACTTCGTATTTAAAGCAATACATAGAAAAAGTGAATAAGAATTTTCTTATTTTTGCATAGAAAGAATTTCTAAAATAAATAAATATTGCGCTAAGTTTTCTATTTACCAAGCTCTAGCCCATGATTATATTGTCCTCTAATCAATGACTTCAAAGTTTTTAAATGTTTTGAAAATCGAAAGAATAAACTTTGGAAATGATAAAGCACTGCTATATAATGAATATTACTATAATATATAGTGGAGTTATAAAGATTTAACTAATGTTTTTAACGATTATAACATGTAACACGTTCAACCGACGATTTTAACGTTCAATACGTTCAACCAAAGATTTTAACGTTCAATACGTTCAACCAACGATTTTAACGTTCAATACGTTCAAACGACGATTTTGACATTCAATACGTTCAACCGACGATTTAAACGTCTAATACGTTCAACCGACGATTTCAACGTCTAATACGTTCAATCTACGTTTTATTTTTCGACTCGGGAAGTATCATCGAATTTTTTTAATAATCGTTGAAAACCTTTATCTTCAATACAAGAGAAAGGTTTTATATCGATTGCTATCATCTCCATACAAAGTTGATCTAGCTCTGCTTTAGTAGGTGGCCCGAGTTTTTGACGTTTTGACGATATTTCAGTACTTTTATTTTTTTCTGCAACCTTACGTTTTTTTCCTATTTCCTCACATAGCTGATATAAGGTAGAGTGTTTCGATTTTAAATGCTTTAACATAGGTGACGTGGTAGCTATAAACAATGTAATGATTAATCAATAAATACAACTCAGAAAATAATTGGCATTAACAAATAAATAGCATCATACATGTTGGTAATTTTAATACTTTCGAGCAAGTATTACATATTGCTTTTCGGTATTCTTCAGTACAGAGTTTAAAAAAACTCCAAACAGGACTTCGATGTGTTGAAGACACAACCTCATTGTCATCTTCGAGATTAACTCCTGGTTCTACTTCGACAATCATATTTTCCACTTCAGAATTATTATGTGTAAGTGCTCTTAATAAAAAGTATTTAAATAATAACTTATAGCTATTACAAATTTCATTTCATAAACATTTTTCCAACGTCAATACATAATCTTCATTTTTCTTATTTGTTTCAGATGTACATCTAAACCTGTGAATTGATAATAGACTTTATTAATGTGTAAAACAAATTCATATCCAATTATTTACATTTAAATTTATATTTATACATTGCATTAATTGCCACTTAAAAATGTCAAAAGATTTGAAATACTTAACTTGCTTATTTGAAATAAGATATATAAAATGTTTTCCGTTCTTACCTTTTTAAAAATAATTTGATGTTTCATTTTGAATTTTTCATAAAACAAAAGATTTTAAAGAATAATTATAATTTTTGCACGCTCTGAATCACCAGGTATATTATTACGTATATTAATTAAAGCAATACATAACAACAATCACAACCATTCGGAAAACAATAAATGTTAACGAAAATACCGTAAAATAATCAATATAAAAGTTTGATCGATGTTAAAAAATATAAAAATTCAATAATTAAAAACTTACTTTATCTAGTTAATCTACATTAATTATTCATTTTAAAAATTTACTAAGTTTTCAGCAGAACGTAATCACAATCACATTGGAAACTGCGAAAATAAACATATATCTTTTTTTTGCTAATTAGACTTGTCATGACAAACTAAGACATGTTTTTGAGAAAGCCAATTTCATTCGGCATTTTTTTTATATAGAATTAATGGAAATGCATTGATCTTATGCATTTTCTAGACTAATATATGTAGCTTATAAATATAAACTTGAATTTACACTCATTCAAGTTAAAAAACATTGAAGGTCTAAGAACTACACTGCAGCCCTGGCGGTTTCGGCAACACGGTGAAAGCAAAGTCGATTGACGGTTGTTTCACGGTCGTTCCACAGTCGTTTCACCGTATAAAGCCCGTTGTTACCGAGCGAGTTGTCAGTCTGCATCGGATACAGTTGTGAACGATATTCACTGTTAATTAACAGAATATATACCGTGCAAACGCAAGTGAATCTACGATGTTATGACCGACACCGTACGCTCAATATACTGTCGAAATACGGTGATTTTACGCTACTGTCACGGACAATAAAATAAAAAAAAATACTCCGAACAGTCTAGACCGGGACTCGAATCCAGTTCATCTGGTCGCGCGCCCGAATTTTTACCAGTTAGGCTATCTGCGACGCTGCACATAAGATCGATT